CACCCTGCCTGGGACATCTGACAACATCTGGAGACAGTTTTGCTGTCCTGACCGGGGGATTGGGGCGCTGCCACTGGCATCACGGGTCAGAGGCCAGGGAGGCTGCTAAGCCCCTAAACTCACAGGACACCCCATTCCCGCACAAAGAATTACCTGGTCCAAAACAGTGCCAAGAACACTATAAATGAGGGCATAGCGTAATGAAAATGGGAACAAGAGATGTGGTCTTGCCATCCGTTCATTTATTCCTTTACCTGTGCCATAAATCTTCTCCGAATGTATTTAGTATAGGTAGAGAATTGGAAATGTGGTGAATTTTAAAAAGCAGTATACCCGGAGAGGTTTTATTTTGGGGGCCGAGGGAGTCCCATTTTCTCCTAGTCATGATCTTGAAAACTTGGACAGACTCATCTAACCTTAGATAACAAATGACAATCCATGCTCTGTTGTGACCCAGGGGGAACTGTTGTCATCTCTGAGATGCCTTCAGTCTCTACCAAGAAGGGTTCCATTCTTTAGATTTTGACTTAACAGAAACCTGATCTCATATAGAACTATTACGACACTCTCTATGGCTCTTTCTCCCCCTACAACATATTACCACAAAGCGGGGAAATGCCCAGAGACAAACTTTTCCTATAAGTCGTTCCACCAGGTGGAGGCAGCATAAATCTTCCACAATGGCTCTCTCCATAAATCCCAGGGCTATGAAAAAACTGAACAGTCCCACCAAGTGATGTCAACATTACAAGGACATTTGATATTTCAATGTTAGACGAAGAAAAATTCTTTTTTAAAGTCAAGTGTTCTAAAGTACATAAGAACTGATATCGAGGGAGGCAGGGAGAGGCATTATACTTTCAGAATTCTTTAATGGAAACTAAGTTCTTAATGTACTAAAACTGACTGTAATATATGGCTATAAAACTGTTTCATAAATGTTTAAAACATGCCTCTCTCTATTAATATTTAACAGCCCCACTCATGAGCTAACAATATCACTTAAGAGCATCGGAGAGTTTAATATATATTAGTAGAGACTTACTTCAGATTCACTGCCAGGTACTAGTCGGAGTTTCCCTCTGTACTGCTAATAAAAAGCAAAACGAGGCAGAGAAAAATGCCTCTCAGAAAATACAATCAGAACATTCTGAGTTACAACGTGCAGAATGCCTGCTCTGTTGGGTACGCTGGAGCAGATTCATACGCAGATTCAAACGCAGAACGTAAAGAGTAAAAATGTGATGGTAAATTTACCGTCTACAAACATAAAATGGAAAGATTGCAAAATAATATAATTTGTGTTTATGAGGAACAAAAGCCACAAACCTAAATCCAGACTGCTTTGGGCTAATGAATCAAGATTTTCCAGATCATCAAATTTGCTTTGCTGACTGTTCCCTTCAGCTGAAGGTACTGATGGTAGGGAATCCATGACGAGGTTTTCTTCCATCTTGAGAAAACAAAAATGGAAATACATTAATACTTTATGAAAGAATGTGGGACACTGAACCAGATGATAATGACAGCGGCCACAGGGCCGAGGAAGCTGGAGCCACAGGGTCACAGGTGGCCTTTTGACTAAATCCAAATTTTACAGACCAAACCCTTTTATTAATATAAAAGTCTAGGTTCGGCCAAGGGGATGTCCCTTGGGGATCTGAGAGGGGGGTCATATGTGGCCTTGGGGCCACAGGTTCCCCACCCCGAATAAGTTTATATAAGCATTTACCAAGGTAGAGGAATGAGTTATCAAGGCCAGCAAGCTTGTTGCGATATACACCTTTCTGGAACCTGTTGTTAATGTCCAGGATTTAAACAGCTTCACTGTTGATGGCACAAGAAGTGGTGAAGTTTCATATCCGGAAGGCTTTGCCTTTCCCGGCCACCCCTCCCTGCCTAGTGAACAGTTACCCGGACCCGAAACCTGCAGATCACGACAGAAGGTAACCCACGGCTCTGTCCCTCCCATCTTCCTTTTATACTCGCCTTTCATGGTTTTCCAAAGTAACTTATTTCCAGGGTGCTAAACTGTTCCCCACCCACCCAACAAAAAAGCGGTATGCTGAAATTCTAACCCCCAAAGTGAAGGTATTACAAGCTGGGGCCATTTGTTTGGTGATCAGGCCACAGGAGTGGGGCCCTCATAGGTGGGATTACTGCCCTTATACAACAGGCCCAGGAGAGCTCATTCCTCTGGTCTCTATGTGAGGACACAGCTAGGGGGTGCCATTTACAAACAAGAAAGGGGGTCCCCCTCCAGACACGGAATTTGCCGGCACCTTGATCTTGGACTTCCCAGCTCAAAAACTGCGAGAGCTAAATTTTTGGTGTTCGTAAGGTACCCAGTTAATGGGTAATAACAGCCCAAATAGACTAAGATAGATAACAAAATTTTCACGTTAAATAACTTAGGACATTTTTAAAAATTTGTACGCATTAATTTAAATGACTATTTTATAGCCACACAGGAGTATACCTTAATTAATTTAAAATGAATAGTGGTGTTATACTTTATTGTTGGAAAAATTGGTTTTTCAAAACAAAAAAAGGTGAATTATATCTTTTACAATGGTCCACTTTTTTGGTAAAGTTTTTTTTTTTGAGACAGAGCCTCAAGTTGTCGCCCTAGATAGAGTGCCGTAGCATCACAGCTCACAGCAACCTCCAACTCTCGGGCTTAAGCAATTCTCTTGCCTCAGCCTCCAGAGTAGCTGGAACCATAGGCACTTAGCTATGTTTTCTGTTGCAGTTTGGCCAGGGCCGGGTTTGAACCTGCCACCCTCCGTATATGGGGCTGGCGCCCTACCCACTGAGCCACAGGCACCGCCCATTTGTGTCAAATTCTTAATAGAAAATAAAATGATGGGTGGTTGCCAGGAGACAGGCGGAGGAGAGAAAGGGTAGTTATTATTTAATGGGATTCAGTGTGGAATATTAAAAGTTCTAGAGATGGGTGGTGATGATGGTTACACAATAATCTAAGTGCAATTTAATCCAGCTAACTGTATACCTAAAAATGGTTACATGAATGGTAAATTGTGCGTTATGTGTATTTTACCATAACTTAAAAACAAAAATAAAACAGATCTAGAAACCTTCATGGTTTCAACCTTCAATTAAAGTGAAGTAGGAGGATCAAGTAGGAAAGACAAATTGAGACGCAGTCAGGAACTATTCACATTCCAAAGATAGTTATATCTGCAGCCCTGAAGGGAGATGACCACCATGACCGGAGTGATAACACTCGTCTGCCCTTCTGGAGGGTCCCTCTAAGTAGAAAACTTCAGGGAATTACATATTTGTAAGGCACTGAGATGTTTTAAAAATCCGCTTAAGGCTTGCAATATTAGTTAATATTCTTAGATAACAAATTATCACAGGGGTCCATCGGTACTACCAGGTGTGCAAATAAAGATCTGAGTCCACGCTAACTAAGCCAGTGTAACTGTCAGCACTGTGAAAGGGGTAAAAACATCAGTGCTCTAAGCAGGAACATATAATTATTTAAAGAAAACAAAATACTGTTTACACAGACACATTAGGGCTGAAAATCTTTTTTTTTTTTTTTTTGAGACAGGAGTCTCAAGCTGTCCCCCTGGG